GGTGGTGAGAATGAAAACTGGTATAGCCTTTTTAAAGGACAGTTTGGCAGTATCTATCACTATTTAAAGTATGCTGATCCCTTCATACAACAATTTCACTTTCAGGAATCTATGCTATTTAAATATGTCCACATCAAGGCAAAAAAAGAAGGATGTACACTGCAACAATGTTTGTGACAGTGAAGAAAACACTAATCAAATATCACATTTATTGGGGGCCAGCATTATTCTTTGGAGAAGGCAATGGCACCCCAGTCCAGTACTCTTGCCTGGAAAATCCCATGGATGGAAGAGCCTGGTAGGGTTAGGGTTAGGGTTAGGGTTACCTACCTAACTCTGCAGTCCATGGGGTCAATAAGTGTTGGACACGACTGAGCGACTTCACTTTCACTTTTCACTTTCATGCATTGGAGAAGGAAATGGCAACCCACTCCAGTATTCTTGCCTGCAGAATCCCAGGGATGCGGGAGCCTGGTGGGCTGCCATCTATGGGGTCGCAGAGAGTCGGACACAACTGAAGTGACTTAGTAGCAGCAGCAGCATTATTCTAAGTGTTTCATAGAAAACATGAAGAGGAAACTGAGACACACATGGCTAGTGTGTGGTAGTGGCAGCACCCAGGCAATCTGTTTCTAGAGTCTGTTCTTAACCATTATGCCCTCTTTGTTGTTGTTGTTTATTCACTAAGTCATGTCTGACTCTTTGGGACTGCATGGACTGCAGCACACCAGGCTTTGCTGTCCTTCACGAACTCCTGGAGTTTGCTCAAACTCATGTCCATTCAGTCGGTGATGCTATGCAACCATCTCATCCTCTGTCACCCCTCTCTCCTGTCCTCAATCTTTCCAAGCATCAGGGTCTTCTCCAGTGAGTCGGCTCTTCATATCAGGTGGCCAAAGTGTTGGAGCTTCAGCTTCAACATCAGTCCTTCCGATGAGTATTCAGGGTAGATTTCCTCTGGGATTGACTGATTTGATCTCCTTGCAGTCCAAGGGACTCTCAAGAGTCTTCTCCAGCACCACAATTTGAAAGCATCAATTCTTTGATGCTCAACCTTCTTTATGGTTCAACTCTTATATCCACACATGACAGGAAAAATCATAGCTTTGAAGACATGGAGTTTTGTCAGCAAAGTGATGTCTCTGCTTTTTAATATGCCGTCTAGGTTTGTCACAGTTTTCCTTCCGAGGAGCAAGCATCCTTTAATTTCATGGCTGCAGTCACCATCTGCAGTGATTCCGGACCCCAAAAGAAAATCTTTCACTACATCCACATTTTCCCCTTCTATTTGCCATGAAGTGATGGGACTGGATGCCATGATCTTAGTTTTTTGAATGTTGAGTTTTAAGCCAGCTTTTTCACTCTCCTCTTTCACCCTTATCAAGAGACTCCTTAGCTCCTCTTCACTTTCTGCCCTTAGAGAGTTATCATCTATATATCTGAGGTTGTTGATCTTTCTCCTGGCAATCTTGATTCCAGCTTGTGATTCATCCAGCCTGGCATTTCTTATGATGTACTCTGCATATAAGTTAAATAAGCTGGGTGACAACATACAGCCTTGATGTACTTCTTTTCCAATTTTGAACTAGTACATTGTTCCCATGTCTAGTTTTAACTGTTGCTTCCTGACCTGCATACAGGTTTTTCAGGAGACAGGTAAGGTGGTCTGGTATTCCCATCTCTTTAAGAATTTTCCAGTTTGTTGTGATCTACAGAGTCAAAATCTTTAGCATGGCCAGTGAAGCAGAAGTAGATGTTTTTCTGGAATTCCCTTGCTTATGCCCTCTCATCCACACCATGGAACACAGCATAGCAGGAAAAGAACGAGGTCGATCTCTGTGACAGACCTTAAGACATCTCTAGGATATATGACTAGAGGGAAAATATCAATGGCAAAACACTGTGACACGGTGTAACACTGTATACATGGGCAAGAGATACACACAGGTATATACAAATACATATGTATGAGAATGGATTAAGGCCTGGAATGATAAGAGAATGTGTGTACAGAGATTTGGGAGTCTCATTTTGCAAGGTATGTTCTATCTAGTTGTGGTTTGTGTGAACTTTTACAAGAATGTATTTGTGCTCTCTTGGTAAAGTAATTATTGTACTGACCAAAAGAAATAGAAAAAGGTTTAATTCATATCAAGGGATTAGTCTTTTCTTCCACATAGACAATGGTATAGGTAGTGGATAAAAATCTTCTACGCTGTGGCTTTTTCTAGTCTATGTAAATGACCCTATGTAAAAGGTGCCTTTTCTCTATATCTTATTGATCATTATGTTTTTCTTTTTAAGTAAGGTTTTCATGTCTAGTATTTGGGATCATGGCTTTCTGTTAGTCCACCAAGCTTCATAAAAATATATGGCCAGCCATTGAAAAATTAATTTGAAAATTGAGAACCATATAGTGGGTCTTCTGCTTTGCCTATTCTATTGTGATCAGGTAAAAGGATCAGTAATCAAGGATTAGCTCATTATTTTGTTTCAGTGCAGAAGCAGGTGGAGTGTCCGGCTCACTCTGTCCTCTTGGTGTGGTCTGTGGAGGTATAAATGAGTCACTTAGCATACACAGTGAAAGGACTGACCTTTGAACAGAAGTCAGTGTTATTATCTGCCAGGAAAAGGCTGTATTGGATCCTCCAGGATCTCTTCCTGCCTCATTCAGGTGAGGGTGGCTTTAACACAGAAGGAAAGATGACGCTCCTGGAAAACTCACTGACTTAAAATGCCTTTACAAGGTTAGCCTTTATAACTAGGTTGCTCTTCTGTGGGCTTCTGACATGCCAGTGAGAGAAGTTCTTAAAATTCTTACAACCTATCGGTTATCAGAGTGCAGATTTTTGGAGTAGCCCCTGTATCCTAGTATAGTTTATCAATTTTTGAAATTTAAATGTTCTCTTAAGCATCTTTTAGGAAGGTAAAAACAACTGTATTCACCTCCTTTCCATAAGGCTGCTCATTTTAGTTTTGAGTAGTGTGTACAAACTACTTTCTTTGTCTTCGTTGTGGTTTATTTAACCTTATTTCCAATACATCTTTTCATGTACTTGCCAAAATTTGACGTGCTTGACTTGAATCCTGCATACCTGCCAGGATTCCTTCTGTTAATGTGACAGCTTGTTTGGATTATTCCCCAAGCGTTGGACAATTGGGTCCCTTCCCAGGTTTTGGTCATTATGGACATTCTGAACAGCCCTGCTGTAAACATCTTTATGCAAGTTCTCCCCCCACCCTCCTTGGGATCATTTCCTTAGAAATGGACTTCCTTAAATGGGTTTACTGGGTCAAAGGGGCTCAATGAACAGCTTTACAGCTCTTGGCACATATTTTTCAGATTGCGCCCTGGGTGGATCTGACCAATAGCGCAGGCCGGAGAAGACAGGAATGTGGACCAGCGGCGGCCCCTCTGACCGCCCCTCTTCCGCCACCCCCCCCCCAAAAAAAAGGGCCAAGAGCTCGAGATCTGCGGAGGGAAAGCAGTTTTTCTATGGCCCCTCTCCTTCTCTTCATGGTCGGGTATTGAAGCCCAGCTGGGGAGAACAATTAAGGGAGGCGCAGCGAGGTGTTGGACAATCCCGGGACGCCTGCCCTGGGGCGGGGGGGAAAACAAGCAGCCCTCCTGCCGCAGGACTCGCATTCCACCCGCCCGTTCCTCGTCCCGTTTTTGAATCCCAGGCACGCCCTCCCAGCCCTTCCACTACCATCCCCGTGGCCCAAGCAGGCCCCTCGCTAACGCGGAGCTCCGCACGCGAGGGCAGCCACTCGGCTGCCGCTATTATTCCGGCGCGGGTGATGCAAGGCTGCGCATAGCTGCGCGCTGAGTCAGCTGAGCCGGGCGGGGGCGGGGGGCGCCGAGCCGCCCATCCCCCCACCCCCCCACCCTGGCCACCGGGCCCCGCACCGGGCGCAGCCTGGTCGCCTCGGGGCCCGGGGTGGGCCTCCGAGTCCACGGAGTCTGTCCTCCGGGCAGGGCCCGGCGGGAGCTGAGGGAGCCGGCGGGGGGCGCCGACCCGCCCATCCCCCGCTACCCCAACCTCCCGGCCTCCCGGCCTCGAGCCGGGCGCAGCCGGGTGGCCTCTGGGCGACGGGAGGGTGGGTGCGGTGGGCCTCCGAGTACATGGGGTCGGTCGTCCGGGCAGGGGCCGGCGGGAGCTGAGGGAGACGGCGGCAGCGTTTGGGGGGTTTGACCCCCTAGCCCCTAGGTGCACCCTCCCCTCCCTTCAGCTGGAGCTCGCGGGTCCAGCGAGGCCGTGACCGCTCGCCGCCCGACAGTTTACCCTGTGAGAACTCAACAGGGGAGGGGGACACAGAGAAGGAAGGAGACTGAAAAAGGAGAAATACGAAGCCAAGCAGACAGGAGGAAACGATAAAAAAAAAAAAAACCACTAGGAAACGGGCGTGAGGAGGCGGAGGCCGGCGGGCGGCAACGGCGGCGGCGCGCGAGGGGCGGGGCCGGGAGCGCGCGGGGCGGGGCGAGCGCGGGGGCGCGCCGCCAGCCGCGACCCGAGGGGCTTGTGGGTAGCGGCTGCGCGCGGCCGGAGACGGGCGCCGCGCGGGAGTGTGTGAGGGGCGCGGGCGTGTGGGGCGCGGGCGGCCGCCGGCGGTCATGGGAGCCGGCTGGCCGCGGCAGTAGTTGTCTGGAGCCCGGGCTTCAGCTTCCCGGAGCCCCCAGAGGGCGGGACAGCCCCCGGGGGGCCCGGCGGTGGCGGCGCCACTTCCCCGCTCCCGCCCTCGGAGTCCTGAGGGAGCTCGCGGCGGAGGAGTGGACCGGGCGGCGCGAATCTGACTGAGGGGCGGGGACGCCGTCTGCTCCGCGCTGCTCCCGGGGCCGGGCCGGCCTCCCACAGCCCCAAGGCCCCGGGACGCTGAGCTCGAGGCGGGCGGTGGGCCCGGGCGGAGCCCCGGCCGGAGCCGGTGGTTCGAGGGCGGCGGTAGGCCCCGAGGCCGGCCGGGCCGGAGCGCAGGGAGCTGAGAGCGGGCCTGGCGGCGGCATGAGCCGACCCCCGACGACTGGGAAGATGCCCGGCGCCCCCGAGGCCGTGTCGGGGGACGGCGCGGGCGCGAGCCGCCAGAGGAAGCTGGAGGCGCTGATCCGAGACCCTCGCTCGCCCATCAACGTGGAGAGCTTGCTGGTATGTGGCCGGGGGCTCGGGAGCCCTCCCTGATGACCGCTCGAACCGCAGATTGCCCCGACTGCCCACTCCTCTGTGCCCGCTCAGCGGTGGGGGCGGGCGGCGGAGGGGAGGTCTCGCCCCACCCTGCTCAGCTTCCCGGCAGCCGGGGCCCGGGTCGGGGAGACTAGACAGTTCTGCGACCGAGTTCCGGGAGTAGAGAGACCCACCTTGAATTCTTCCCTTCTGCCTCCTGGAGCTGGTGTCACCCGCGGCTGCCCCGGTCTTGGAGCGCTGGGAGGAAGCACTCTTATTCCCTCCTGCCCTGTGGGTCTGGGGGTGGGGGGTCGGGTGGGGAGACCTGTCCATCAGACCCCAGGCAAGCCCATCTGAAAGAGCGTCATGCTGCCTGGCGACGCGCGTCGGAGCAAGAGAGAAACCCGGTGGCTGTCCCTACGGGGAGTCCCCACCTGGGATACATGACAAAGAATTCAGTCTGAAATCTGGTAACACACAGCCTGAGGTTTCCATGTTTTCAGTTGTCTGTGAATATTAATCGTTACAATTCAGTGCATTTCAATTTCTGTAAGTTTAATTTCAGCGATTATTGCCCAGGAGCTATAAATTCACTTGAATTGTAGTGTGCAATCAGTCTCTCCTTTGCATTGTGTCTCTTTCCTGAGATGGCCTTGGAGATCCCAATTAATAGCCACGTAAAGTCTGCTAGTTAGCTTTAAGAAAGGAACAAGATTGATCAGAAATGCACTGTAGAATGCTTATTTATTTCTTGCTTTTGTTAGGATAGACTTGTATTTTACAGACTCTTTGATTAGTATGCAGTAGAGATGCATTTATGGGGAAAGGTGGGGGTGTAGGTTTTTACCCTGGGGAGGAGAAGAAAGTGAAAAAGATGTGCTGGATGTTAAATTAACTCTGGACAACTAGAATTCGGGTAGGTGATCGTTGGATCTTTTAGGTATTTCCTCCCACAATGCCTGTTCTACTCCCTGACAGGAGAAATCTATTGACTATATGATGAGAAAAACTGTCTCCTGCCTTTCCAGTGACTGACTGACTTTCCTTCAGAAGCTGTTGGTTATCCTTTGAGGTTTCTGGAATCAGTTGTGGAGTGACTCAGTACCGTTTGGCCAAAGTGCAGGAACTGACTAAAGTGTGTCTTTCTGTACAGTGCACAGAATGTAGTGATGTACTGTGTCAGACGTGTTTGACATTTCCTTTTACTGATTTTCATGTCATTGTGTTGTTCATATGTTTTCATGGGAGCATGACACTCTGATAGTGTTTCTAAGTCTTCGATTGGGGATAGGATTGGTTGCATGAAGGGCATAGCTTTTCCTAGACCAGAGCAGAGACTCTGGGCTTCACTCCCAGCATTTTCACTTTGGTATTTTGCTAGCAAAACTCTGACCTAAGGCCAGAAAGTTCAGTTAAAAATAGTACAGCAAATCTCAAGTATTCATCAGGTTCATATTCAATCTCAGATAGAAATTTTTTGCACTTTCATCTCTTAGGCTTTACGGATGGTAATTATTAGGGTAATTATGAGCTTGAGCCTAAGCTATTTATGATCGTACATTCTTTTTTATTAAAGTGTTTTCTAAATCATTAAAATGAAGGCTGCTTTTTAAAAAATGAAGCATTACACATGCTCAGTAAACTGCCTGGTCCATTCATTTATTGAGTGCCTAGGTCAGCCAAGACCCTTTACACCTTTATTAAGGTAACAGACTGCTAGTATGACATCGCATGCTGCTGACTGGACAGATTTCATCTCTGCTGTTTTTAGCTGATTAACTGTTACGGTTCTGGGTTGCAATAAATCTTATCAGGCCAAAAATTGTCCTTTACTCTTTGAGGTTGCTGGTGTTTCTACTGTAGAATAACAAGCTGAAGATTTTTTTTTAAAAAAACCATGTTATTTACAGTGTTAGCTTTAAACATGTATATTTAATTATATCAAATACCAGAGTAGGTTACCATTTCCTACTTCAGGGAATCTTCAAATCCATGTCTCCTGCATTACCACATTTTTAAAAATACCTACTCAGGTATTCTTGCCTGGAAAATTCTATGGACAGAGGAACTTGGCCTGATCGCACACACAGCCTGTCCATAACATAAAATTTACCGTTTTAACCATTTTAAGTGTACACTTCAGTGGCATTACTTACATTCACATTATTGTGCAAATATCACCACTATCCATCTCCAGCACTTTTTCTTCTTTCCAAACAAATTCTGTGAGTTAATTTTTAAAAGTGTTATAAAAACAGATTTCCTAAAATAGTGGTGAGGGTCACTTTAAAGATTTGAAACCTTACTGTCAACCTTCATTGTCACAATTGATCATTGTTTTACTGTAAATGGCATTTTTAAAAATTTTATTATAGAATATATTAATATTTTTTCTTTTACAGAGACAATTTAATATGATAAAAACACAGTCACAAATCTTAGTTACTTATTTGGAACTTAGAAAGTACCATTTAAAATTATATACTACCTAAGGTGACAAAACTAAGAGGTGAAGTATACCAGAAGTTGCTCTTATAACAGTTACTGTTATAGGTACTGTAGGCCAGGCCTTGAAGGTAAAACTGTTTGTTGGAAGAAGTATTATATGAGATAACATGTAAAAGTGCTTAGCTCAGTGCTTGGTACATAGTAGTGCTTATTAAATTTAGCTCCCTTCTGTGTGCTTTTACCATATTTTTAGGTAAGTGCTTTAAATTTCCTTTGAAAAGGAAAATGATTCTATTGGCAGCTGTTTCTTGCTATAAAATTTTGAATGAATAACATTTTATTTTGAATTTGCCATCAGAAAAGTGTCAGCAGTCACCAAGCATAGATAGATCTGAATTCTAAGACTGTTACTACAGAGACTAAAGTGTCTTTTTTCTCTGCAGCAACTCATTTTAAAGAGGCTTTATGTGGATCCTTCAGACTGATCTGAAGAGCATATATCCCTTTTGTGGTTGCAGATGTGTAAGTTGTTAGGTATTACTTAAAAACAGAGTTTTGAGAGAGATTTGCTTCTGTAGTATCTGCACCCACCCACCCCACCCCCCCCCCCCCGCCCGCCACCCCAAGGGAATGATCTTGAGTAGTATGGTTTTTCATTGTTTGAAACTTTTGAGTATATACCCATGTTTTGTTGTCAATACTAAGCTTCCCATACTGCTTACCCAAATATTACGGTAAAAAGAATTGTCCTTTAGTGTTGTGCTGGAGAGATGTCTTTCTAACAGTTTGTGCTTTTGAGCTTTTATTTATTATTTTAAAGGTTAAATTATTATTGTAACCCCTGGGATTCAGGCTTGGGTAAAGTGTTCCATTAGGCTTGTGTTGATGGGAAAAGGTAATTAAAAACTTAGGATTTTCAGTAACTTAGAATACAAAACACTTCATTTAATTCATTTTTATTAAACCTGTAAACTATGTGAAAATATTTTTTATCACAGTGGTTTTTGGTAAAGCTTATTTGATGTAACATCTGTCCTGATCTGATGTTACAGTATTTAAGGTGGTTTATCTCTCGGCGTAAATAATAATAGCTTCCCCTGAAGAAATATTGGGGTTTCCCAGGTGCCTCAGTGATAAAGAATCCACCTGCCAATGCAGGAGGCGTGGACTCAATCCTTGGGTCGGCAAGATCCCCTGGAGGAGGAAATGGCAACCCTCTCCAGTAATCTTGCCTGGACAATCCCGTGGACAGAGGAGCCTGGTGGGCTACAATCCATGGGATCACAAAGAATCGGACATGACTGAGCTACTGAGCACTAGAGAAATAAGAGCGTTTGATTTCAGGATGCTACCCCAGACTCCTCGGAGTTTTGGGGACTATACTGTACATAGTATATATACTTTATTACTACTTTAAAATCCAAATATTCTGAATTTGGAAACATCTTGCCCCAAGGTAAGGCCAGCACAGACTAAGTAAGGAAGTACTGACTTAACACACACCTTAAACAGATGTAAAGAAATAGTGGATAATTATCTTGAAGCCTAACTTGTTGTCTGTTGTTTTGGTTGAGTCCTGATCAGATAGTTCTCTTTTGCAATTTCAAATTCTGAAGTATTCTAAGCATGCTAAGAGAATATAGCATGCAGAATGGTGCTAAAGATTACTTTTGCCTTTTCTCGAACTTCGTATAAATGGAATCCATAGTATGTACTCTTATATCTGGCTTCTTTAGTTCAGGATAGTTTTTGAGATTCATCCATGTTTATTTTGTGTATCAGCAGTTTGTTCCTTTTTTTATTGCTAACTAGCATTCTATTGTATGTATAACGCACAATTTGTTAGGCATCTTCGGTTGATGGATGCTTGGGCTGTTTTCAGTTTTTGGCTATTTTGTATAATATACTTTGGCTTTTAATAAAGCTTATTGTAAGCAATTTAGTAGTAAGTCTTTGGGAGGACACTTATTTCTCTTGAGTTAAATACCTAGTAGTGGTTTTACTAGGTCATAGGGTAAGTGTATCTTTAGGTTTTTTTTTGTTTTATGTAACTGTCAGATCTTTTCCTAAAGTGGTTGTACCATTTTACATTCACACAGCAACTGGGGAGAGTTGCAGTTCCTTCCCAACGCTGGGTCTTAAATTTTAGCCATTCTGTGGTGGGTAGTGGTATCTCATTGTGACTTTCGTTTGCATTTTTCTGGTGATTAATAACGTACTTTTTTATGCACATAGCTGGACATTTGTATATCCTGTGAAGCATCTGTTCAAATCTTTCATCCATTTGAAAAAATTAATATTCTTTATTTTTGAGTTACACAAGCTGTTTATATATCCTGCTTATCAGTTTTTTGTCAAATATATGGCAACGTTGTTTTTTAATCACATTTTTTTTTAATCGTTATTGTTTTTTCTGCTTGAAAGACTATTGTCTAGTCCCATGTTGCAAGAAATTTTCCTTTACTCTCTTTTAGAAGTTTTATCGTTTTACTTTTAGGTCTAGAATATATGTTAAGCCAGTTTTAGTGTGCAGTGTG